TCAGCCAGGCATGGTGCATGCCTTTAGTCCCAGCACCTGGGAGGCAGAGGCAGATCAATCTCTGAGTTCCAGGCCAGCTAGGACTACATATTGAGATCTTGTTTAATTGTATGTCCATCAAGTAGCTCTTCACAGATAGGCTACAATAGGTGCTGGCACTGTGCTTGTGTGGCTTTTCAAACATCTACTTATGGAGCAGAATCAGCAGGAAGAGGCAGTGTAATTTTTGTGTACTGTAGTAATTTGCTACGTAGAATATGCTGCATAGAACAGAAGTATGTAGTTATGGGGAGATTGGGGTAGATTTTAGAATGAGGTTAGATATTTGGCTAACATGGATAGGGAAAGTTGTCAGAAGAAAACAATGGTGTTTACCAAGCTTGGAAGTGCCCAATAGTGTTCTTAGAGGATGGCTCTGCCTTCTGTGGGGGTGGACCTAGGGAAGCAGAAAATCTAATACAACAGGGGCCAAAGGACAGCAGGAACCTGCCAGCTTTCTATATATTTTCCCTTGAACTTTTGTCCCTAAGGTAGGCTGCTTTTCCAGTTTTTAACTTCAAGACTATAAAACACAAGAGCTTCAGTAGTGAACTGATTAAACCATTCAGGGTGGAAGCAAATTTATCTTGAAGCTACTTTAAAAGGCTATATACTGCACATAGAAAAGGGAAAATTGGATTGGTAAGCCACATTCAGGCATGAATAGTACATTGAATCATAGGGGGGAAAAAATTTGTTATGGCATTTCCCCAGTGATTAGTTTCAGCCAGAACAATTAGTGAATTGCCATCTTCTTTTGAATGATGTAAAGCAGGAAAAAAATCATGGTGCCATTTGCAGAGTTCTAGGTAGTAATGATTGAGCCACAGAAACTGAAACAACTTCTGCAGTAGAAAATGATTTTTATGATTTCTTGAAAACAAACCAACTACTTCTAATGGCCACTCTTCATCTTGTGCTACTGTTTATTCACTTAGGAAATATACATGTAATTTTTTTATAAATATATAATTTTTATTTTTGAGTCAGGGTCTCACTGTGTTAACTCCCACTGGTCTGGCCTAAGACTGGCTATGTAGACCAATCTGGCATGGAACTAACAGAGATCCCTCTGCCTCCCAAGTGCTGGGATTAAAGGTGTGCACTACCACTGACCAGCCTTGCTTTTTGTGGTTGGTTGGTTGTTTTTTTTTTTTTTTTTTGACAGGGTATCACTATGTAGCTTTGGATGTCCTAGAACTCTGTGTAAGCCAGGCTGGCCTCAAACTCACAAAGATCTGCCTGCCTCTACTTCCCAAGTGCTGGGACTAAAGATATACACCACTATGCCCAGCAGAAATGGTTTTGATGTAGCTAGTTATCATGGCTTATCCCTGTGTTGCCATGAGTTTGAAGATCGACACAATTGTGAGTTCCAGGCCAGCCTAGGCTACAGAATAAGATCCCATCTCAAAAAATTAAAGACTGGAGCTGGAGAGATGGATCAGCAGTTAAGATTACTGGCTGTTCCTCAAGAGGACTCAGATTTGATTCCTAGCACCCACATGGTGTCTCACAGCCATCTGTAACTCCATTTCCAAGTGATCCAACACCCTCTTCTGACCACCTCAGCCAACAGGCATGCATGTGGTACAGAGACATATATGAAAGGGGCTTTTTGTTGTTTTGGTTTGGTTTTTTGTTTGTTTCTTTTTATGGAAAAGTGCTGGCAAGATGCCCATTCAGCAGGCAAAGGCACTTGCCACCAAGCCTAATGACCTGAGTTTGATCTCCGGTAGGAGAGAACCAACTCCTACAAGTTGTCCTGACCTCATGCACTGTGCACTGCCATGTGCATGCATATATATATACAAATAAAATGTAATTTGATTTAAATTAAAGAGGAAAGAGGTTTTTTTTTGGGGGGGGAAGACTGGGTTTTATTTCTTTTAGATGAAGTCTCACTATATAACCCTGACAGGTGTTGAGTTCACAGAGATCCTCTTGCCTCTGCTTCCTTGGTGCTGAAATTAAAGACATGTGTCACTCTACCCAGCTTTTTATTTTTTAAAGAAGAGGATGTTGAATCCTAGAACTGGATAAAGACAGTCAACAGAGCTGTCTAATATGGGTGCTGGGAACTGAACTCTGGAAGAGTAAAAAATGATCCATTTCTCCAGCCTGGAAGGCTGGTTTGTTTGTTGTTTGTTTGTTTTTATGCCAGGAGATGGTGGTTCATGCCTTTAATCCCAGCACTTGGGAGGCAGAGGCAGGCCGATCTCTGAGTTCAAGGCCAGCCTGCCCTACAGAATCTCAAAAGAGCCAGGACTACACAGAAACCACAGGAAGTTTTGCCCAAAGCTTCTGCTTCCTGTCTCTTGAAATAGTTGTGTGTGGGGGGGCGGGAGGGGTGTTATTTTGCTGTCATCATTGTGTTTTAATGGTCTCATATAGTCCTTCCTGGCTGGTCTAGAACTTTCTATATAGATCAAACTAGCCTCAGATAGAGATCTGGCTGCCCTGCCTCCTAAGTGCTAGGATTAATAGTGTGCTTCACCATATGCAGCAGAAATACTTGCTTTAGAACTCAAATGCTGTTATACGAGAAAACCCAAATATCTCCAGAACCTCAGCAACCTCACCCTAACCCCAGTCCTCACCAACTCCTAGCCATGGGCCTAGCACTCCTATCTGCCTCCTATCTGAGCTCCGTGAAAGATTTCTCAGACTCCATTGTAACCCTATTAGGTGACACCAAATGGAACAAAGGCTAGTGTCCTTGTCAAACCTTTCCCAAAACACAGATTAATGAGTAAAATGTTTTAGTCCACTAGATTTATCATGGGAAGAGAGATTGTAAATAGCAGTAGGTAACTAACAGAGACAAATTTCATTCCTTTCCTGCTTGAGTCCATGAAACAGCAGGGAAGTTTGTGTAGCACAGAAGGAAGTGGATTAGAGAAAGTATGTAATAGAATCTTAGCAGAGTTTGCTCTGAACTATTTGACCAGTGCTTAATTGTAAGGAGTCTTTCTCTGACTGCCCTCCCCCCAGCCATCTCCCAAATAACAACACAAAGACATTATTATGAAAGCTCAGCCTTAGCTTAGGCTTGTCCCACTATCTCTTAGAACTTAAATTAACCTATTTACATTAATCTACATTTTTTCCTCATGGCTTTTTACCTTATTTCTGTACTCTCCATCCTGCTTCCTCTGTGTGTCTTACCTCCAGTGTGCCTATGTCTGCCTGGAAGTCCCACCCATGCCTCCTGTCTAGTTATTGGCCATTCAACTCTTTAAACCAATCACAACGACGTATCATCACACAACGTGTACAAATATCCCACAAGAGCTTGACGAAACAATTTTTAGAAGCTTGTCATTCTAGTCTCCTTACTAGAGCTGTGACAAAATACTGACCAAAACTAATGTGGGGAAGAGGGTTTATTTTGCTTCCACTTTCATGTCTTAGTCCATCCTTGGGGGAAGCTAGAACAGGAGCTCAGTGCACGAACCTGGAGGCAGACATTGAGGTAGATAGAGACAAAGAAATGCTGCTTACTGGTTTGTTCTCCATAGCTTGCTCAGCTTTCCTTATATAGCCCACACCTGCCCAAAGAAGGCACCACCCACAGGGAACTGAGCCCTCCCACATCAATCATTAAGTCAAGAAAATAATCTAATAATCTACAGTCAAAGTCAGGCAATGATGACACACACCTTTAATCCCAGCATTTGGAAGGCAGAGGCAGGTGGATCTCTTGAGTTCAGGGCTAGCCTGATTTGCAGAGTGGGTTCCAGAACAACCAGGGCTACACAGAGAAGCCCTGTCTCAAAAAGAAGAAAGCCAAAACCAAAAGAATACTCAACTGTAGTTCCCTTCTTCCCAGGTGTCTCAGGTCAAGTTGACAGAAACCAACAAGCACACTTTTCTTGACCAACACACTTGTTTTCATCAGCACACCTACCTGTCTTCACCAGCACACCTATCTGTCTTCACCAACACACCTGTCTTCACCAGCACACTTGTCTTCTAGTGCTAACCAGAATACTCTGAAGACTGATCTCTCAGTTCTTTGAAATCATCTTGGTTCCAGATGCTGTAAGATCCATAGACAGCCATTTTATGTCCATTCAAAAAGGTCTGTTTCAGATTAGCCATGTGGCCCTAGGAAATCCATTTTCATCATGTGACAGTTTTTGAGGGTACTTTTCCCAGAATAAAGTTACTTAATTTCTGATTACTTGGCTTCAAGTTATTGTCAACTTTTTTGTACTGCAGAACTATCCAAGAAACAATGTATTGTTTAATTGTTTCTGGTGTTTATTTGAAAGTTTCACTTAACCTAAGCTGACAGCAAACTATGTAGATGAAGCAGATCTTGAATGCCTAGAACCTCTTGCCTCCACCTTACAAATGCTCTGACTACATACTCATGCCACCACGGCCTGCTCTTGCTTTTGAAGATTACAAATTACAAGACATCCACTTAATGCCGTGGAACCTTCTATACTTCCAAGAATAACTTTCTGGTAAATCAGATGTTTGCATTACTTGGAACAAAATATGAGACTGGCTTTCAGGCAATTTGGCCATCTCCGGCATTTTTTTTAAGCTTTTTTTAATTCATTAATTTATTTTTTACATTCCAATCTCCCAGTTCCCCCTCCCTCCTCTCGCTCCCCCCACTTTCTCCTACCCCACCTCCCATCTGCTTCTCGGAGAGGGTAAGGCCTTCCCTAGGAAGTCTGTCACATTATCTCATTGAGGCAGCCCCACCCCCACCCCCAATATGTCTAGACTGACTCCGGCACTCTTAAAGCGCGCTTTCAACTACACAATTTTTACCCCTAAATTACAAATGAAGAAACAGAGGCTCTTGGCTCTTGCAAACCAGGAACAGCAAGAGTTGACTGACACACAAACTGCCACCATTTCCCAGTCCTGTGCGTGAGCCCGGAGAACCTGAGGCTGTGATTGGCTGCTGGAGCCGCGGGGGTAACCATGGTGACGGGAGGCGGGGCTGCGGCGGACCGCGGGCCTTAACAGACTGCGGCGGGGTGTCCCCGCGAGAGGCTGGCGGGCGCAGGGCCCAGCCGGGAGCCTCGGCTCCGGCCTCGCGCGATCGCCAGGCGGGGCGCGGGCGCGGCCTCCTGCGGGCCCTTGATGCGGTTGGGGCAGCGCGGGCCAGAGCGGAGCCCGGCCCGGCGGCGGGCGCGGTAGGAGGCGGCGGGGCCGCGGGCCCGGGCCGGTGACTGCGGCGCCCCCACGATGGACGCCCTAGAAGAGGAGAGCTTCGCGCTGTCCTTGTGAGTGTCGCCTGCGGGGTCGGGCGCGGACTGTCGGGAGGGGGCGAGGACGGGGGCCGGGACTCCGCTCTAGCGGGGCGTTTCCTACCCGCGGCCTCTGCGGGGCTGTGTCACCGATTACCAGCGCTTCCATCACAATCCTCTGTCCTGAATGAATCTGGGCGGTCAGTTAAGCTGCCCGGGGTTGGCGGCGGCCTCACCGCCCGTCTCTGGCCACTCCTGATCCAGTTACCCTCTAGCTAGGCCTGTGCTCCTCCGGTGGTCAGATACACCCCTCTGGCGTAAGAGCCAGGATGCGGTGAGTAGATGTGGGTAGTAGATGCGGGTAGTAAATGCGGAAGTCTGAAGATGTGCCACGCCAGCCTCACCTCCCCATATTGTTTGCTTCTTTTGTGATTGCCACGCCTAGGGTGTTTCCTGTATTTGGAATTTCTAGGCCAGGCAGAAATCCTTGACTGCTGAAACCGAGTGATGTGGGGGTTCAGCTTGTGATTCTTTTTATGCACGTTGGGAAATTAACATTTAAAAAATGTTTCGGGTATTGTTGTGATTGCTTTGTACGTGCAAGGTCTTGGGTTCAATCCCCATCCCCACAGAAAACAAAGATTCAACTTCTAAAGTAATTATTTGGACCGGCACCTTATCCTGATGTGTTGTTTTTCAGCTCCTCCGCCTCTGATGCAGAATTTGATGCTGTGGTTGGGTGTTTAGAGGACATTATTATGGGTAAGTTTCTACACCACTAAGTGACCCTTCTAGTTCCTTAGGTGAGTCCCTTACGTAGATAGACATAAAACAATTTTTAAAACTGCATTCATTTTTGTGTGTGATTGGGGCAGGGGTTTCCTAGGCCACTATGCACAAGTGGAGGTCAGAGGACATTGTGGTGTTGGTTCTCTCTCCACCTTTATGTGGGTTCTGAGTATTGAACTCAGGTCACCAGGCTTGTATAGCAGTGCCTTTAGCCACTGAACCATCTCAACAGTCCAAACCTTTGCATACAAGAGCATGCAAATACACAAATTTGTAGAGTTAATTTTCAAAACACAAAACACTGAAATTTTAACAAAACACACTGTAATAGTAAGCAAGCCATACTAAGATTTGTTGTCTTAGAAACAAGTAGGATCGACAAGATGGTTCAGTGGGTAGAGGCATTCACCAGCAAGCTTAGCAACCTTAGTTTAATCTCCCGGTATCTATAGGGTAGAACTGGCTTCCAAAAGTTGTTCAGACTGTAGCAGGCATGTGCTCATACATAAACAAAATAAATAAAAATATAACTAAAAAAGAACGAACCAAAATCCTAGTATATGGCACAGCTCTATTGTCTCAATACAGATAAGCCAGAGATAAGAAGCTGGGGAGTTCTGATCCTGGTTCTGCTCTATAAGACTCAGTGCTTTTTAAATAATGGCCATTGACTCAAGGTCTCAGAGGAGACAAATTCAGAAAACCAATTACCTGGTGGGTAGGACAGAGCTCTTGCCAAGCCTTCAGGTAATCTTGACCAACTTTATTTCACATATACAGTAAGAGCAATTTTGAATCATTTTGAGCTTTACCATTTAATGCAGAACAGAACATAGATCATATGCAAAAACAAAGTGTCAAATCTCCTTAGATCTCTTCTTTTTTTTTTTTTTTTTTTTTGCTGCTGTTGTTTAGTTTTTGTTGTTGTTCTGAGAGTGTTTCTCTGTGTGGCCCTAGCTGTTCTGGAACTCTCTCTGTAGACTAGCTTCTAACTCAGATCCATCTGCCTGAAATTAAAAGTGTGAGCCACTGTGAATGACTTGGATCTATTTTCTTTATGTGTTTTGTTGGTTTTGTGTTCAGAGTTTTGTTTTTAGGGCCTCACATGCAAGCCAGCCTTGATCTTGCCATCTCCTTGCCTCAGCTTCCCAGGTGCTAGGATTGTAGGCATGAGCCAACATATGCTCCTATTTCTTTGCATTCTTGGCTCCTATTTCTGGATCCCTTTGAGCATCTGTCTGTTCTAGTAAGTGACCAGAAGACAGTAATACATTCAAAGTTGAAGACAAATACGAGGGGAAAACTAAATTGGACAAAATTTTGACAGTTTACCAATTTTTCCAGTAATAAAGAAAAGACTGTGCTATCTGATTTTTGGGTATGTGGCTTAACCCATGTTAGTCTGAAAAACCACTGACAACACTTTTGAACCTTTACACCCCGTCAGGATCCAAGCCTTACCTCCCTTGTCTCTCCAGAAGCACTCTCCTGAGGAATTTTTAGTTGTCTCCCCCACCATGGGAACCCTGCCTGTTATGGAGAAATGAGCTGCTTCCTGTCTGGGCCACTTTCAAAGGTTTCGCTGTTGGTTGCAGAAATACTGGTTGGTTCCGTTGTCAGAGTTCCCTACTCCCTAACCTTGAGTGTTTGCTGTGAGTCTCTCTCTACCTGGACTCTCTTCTGAATTGCACTTAGCAAGCCGTGGTGACAGAGATAGTTGAGGAGAGTGGGGTCTGCAGAAATAAGGTCACTGGTCCAAGAGCACAAAAATGTATGGCTGAGGTAGGGTTTGAACCCAAGCAGTGGCCTCTTGCAGGCCCCACCCTTTAACCCACTATTTGGTTTTCACTGCTACTGCTAAAATGATAATAAAATAGGAGGGGGGGGCAGCAAGATGGCTTTCAAGCCTAACGGTCCAACTTCAGTCTGTGAGACCCATGTGGTAGAAGAAGAATCAACCCCAACCTCTAGATGGGTACTGTGGCACATGCCATCAATCCAGTACTCAGGAGGCAGAGGCAAGAGATCTTTGTGAGTTCCAGGGCTACACAGTGAGACCCTGTCTCAAAATAAATGCGTAGCCAAAAAAAAAAAAAAAAAAAAAAAAAAAAAGGATCAGTAAGATGGTTCAGTGGGTAAAGTACGTGGTGCCACGCCTGACAACCTGAGTTCAATTCCCAAGACTAATGTGTGGACAGTAGAGGTACTTCTACAGGTTTTCCTCTGATCTTCACCCTTACATCATTGCAAGCATGTGCATATATGCACGTAAATATAAATAAATAAGTAAATGTAATTTAATAATAAAGAAAATTAACAAGGAGAGACAAGGCTTCTTGGTATTGAAGTCTCCCTTTTGAAGAGCTGACCTTTTGTATACACAGTAAATTTGTGTGAGAGGTACCAGTTACTTTTTTGTGACCAATTAATGTGAGGGGGTTTACAAGTTCCTGTTTGGATATATTGTAGCATATACCTGGAGTTTTTGGTTTTGTTTTGTTTGGTTTTGGTTTCTCCAGACAGGGTTAGTGTAGCCCTGGCTACCCTGGAACTTGTTCTGTAGACCAGGCTGGCCTAACATCAGAGATCTGCCTGCCTCTGCCACCCAAGTGCTGGGATTAAAGGAGTATGACCTCATTATCTGGTGTGGCATAGACCTCTGACCCCAACACTCAGAGTCAGGAGGATGGCTACAAGTTCAAGGCCAGCCTGGTCTACATAGTGAGTTCCAGGCCAGTCAAGAATATCTATCTATGGAGAGACCCTATCTTAAAAAGCTAAGAAATAAAATAATGCAAAGCAATGTGAACACATTTATATGCCAGCAAATGGCATAATTTAAAAAGTTGAAGTTTTAAATTTTAGTTATATCTTACTAAATTTTAAATTGGCTTTTGTGTTTGTTATTTTATATTTATGGGTATTTTGCCTGAATGCATATATGTGGACCATGTGTGTGCCTGATGTCTGTGGAGGGCCAAGGCATCAGACCTCTTGGGGCCTGATTTACAGATGGTTGTGAGCTGCCTTGTGGCTGCTGGGAAAGCAACACTGTAGCATTGCACCTCATACAGAGAATGAACTTCCCTTGTTTCAGATGATGAGTTCCAGTTATTGCAGAGGAACTTCATGGACAAGTACTACCAGGAGTTTGAGGACACAGAAGAGAATAAACTCACCTATACCCCCATTTTTAATGAATATGTAAGTAGATCTGTTTCTCCTACCAGAAGATTAGAGTTTCTTTAAAATTTGAACTTAGATATGTTAGATATAATTAATATATGCTATCCAGTAGTTTGAATTAGAATCAGAAGGTGTTACAAAGTTTGGTGGCACATGTAAACCAGCTCTAAGGAGGCTGAGGCAAGAGAATGGCTGTAAGTTACAAGCCTGCCTAGGTTACTTAGTGGATTTCAAGTCAGCTTAGGTTGTTTAGCAAGGTTAGTTGGAATTAGTTTACTTTTTATATATGCCAGCACTGCCAAAAGGAATGATGATTAGAGTGATCTGGTTTAGATAATTTTCTCTTGCCAGATCTTAGAGCTATTTTCAAAAAAGCATTCATGAAGTATTTGATGTGCTCTCAACTTCTTGTTTAAACCAAATTTGCCTTTCCCGTAATCTTGTCTTCTGCTGTGATATTTTGCATTTGTGTGCTGTAAAAAATAAGCAGCACTGCCAGCAAGAGACGGAGGGAGAGCTGGTTCCATAAAGTTGTCCTTTGATGTCCACTTGCACACTATAACACATGCATGCCCACTCACACATACAATAATAATTAAAAAAAAAAAAAAAAAAAAAAAAAAAAAAACCACGGGGCTGGACAGATGGCTTCCAGAGGCCTGCAGATTGGTCCCAACACCTACATCAAATGGCTAACAACTGCCTATAGCTCTAGTTCTAGGAAATCCAGCACCCTCTTCCGGCTTGTGCGGGCATTTGCACTCATATATGCAGACAGACACACACACACATGCACACGTGTGCACACGATCTCAGGTGATGACTTACAAGGATATATCTAGGCTTTGCAAAGTCTGGCTTCTTCCCAGAGGCCCACACAGTCCTGTCTCCACTGTTGCAGATATCCCTGGTAGAGAAGTACATTGAAGAGCAGCTGCTGGAGCGTATCCCAGGCTTCAACATGGCGGCTTTCACAACAACACTGCAGTGAGTTGAGCTTGACTCTAGTTCTGTGCTTCCCATCTTCCTCCCCTAAATTGAAAACACCCTTTTTCTTCACTTAGAACTCTGGATGGCTGGGTCCTGAGTGGGAGACCCTCTATGCCTTTGCAAGGCATTTTTTAAAATTTTATTTTTTAATGCCAATATTTTTTATTTTATTCATTTAATTATTTGTGTGCACTGGTGTTTGTTTGTTTGTTTTGCTTTGGTTTTTTCCATGGGTGTCAGGTCCCCAGGAACTGAAATTACAGAGAATTGTGAGCTGCCATGTGGTTGCTGGGAATTGAACTCAGGACCTCTAGAAGAGCAGTCAGTGCTCTTAACCATTGATCCACCTCTCCAGCCCTTTGTTTTTATTTTTTAAGAGAGTCATTTATTCATGTTTAAATTGATGTATGTATGTGCACCTGCATAAGTTTATGTGCACCATGAGTGTGCAAGAGGAGGGGTTTAGATCCTCTAGAATGGGTTACAGGCAATTATGATTGGCCACATGCATGCTGGGAACATCCCTGGGTCCTCTGCTAAAGCAGCAAGTACTCTTAACCACTGAGCCTTCTCTCCAGCCCCTATTTTTATGTTTTTATTTATTTTGGGGTTTTTGTTTGTTTTAAGACAGAGTTTCTTATAGCCAAGGATGGCTATAAGCCTGACCCTTCGACCTCCACCCAGGTGCTGACAGGCATGTCCCACCATGCCTGGCTTGTGCACCTTGAAAAGGGAGTCTGTCTCCCTGTTGATTCACAAAGCCAACACTCTGTCCTTTGCAGGCACCATAAGGATGAAGTGGCTGGTGACATCTTTGACATGCTGCTCACATTCACAGATTTTCTGGCTTTCAAGGAGATGTTCCTATACTACAGAGCAGTAAGTTATCAGTGTTCACCTATTTAGCCTCAACAAGACACACAGAGAGCAAGAGGTAGAACTTCAGAGACAGCCATCTGCCCTGTACCCTCTATCTTTTGTCCCCCCTTAAAATGGCTAGTGTCTGTTAGCTTTTGAGGAATAAATAGCAGTTGCTGTTCCGTGCTGCCTTGGACCTTTGAAATGAGCTCAGTGTTCCCAACAAAGAGCAAGTCTCATTCTGTCACTTTACTATGCAGGTTCGTTTAAATTTAAAAAAAAAAAAAAAAAAAAAAAAAAAAAGTTTCAAGCAGCAAACAGCTGCCCCACTTGTTTATGTATGTATTTATTGAGACAGAGTCTTGCTGTATAGCCTGGAATCTGCTATGTTGACCAAGCTGGCCTCAAACTCAGAGATCCTCCTGCCTCAACCTCCTGAGTATTAGATTTAAGGCATGGCACTATGCCCAGTTCCAATCTTTTATTTGTTTTTTGAAATGGGGCCTCTCTGTGTAGTCCTGGCTGTTCTGGAACTCCCTCTGTAGACCAGGCTGACCTTGAACACAGATCCACCAGCCTCTGCCTCCCATGTGCTGGAATTGAAGGCAAGCACCACCACTGCCTGGCTAGTCATGTTTTTAAAACTTATTTTTTTAATGTGTCTGCCTGCATGTTTGTCTGTGCACTATATGCATGCTGGTGCCCGTGGGACTGGATTTATAGACAGTGCTAGAATGGTGGGAATCAAATCCAGGCCCTCTGGAAGAACAACCAGTGCTTTTAACCACCGAGCCATCTCTCCAGCCCCAAGAAAGTCTTTACCCCCCAACCCCACACCATGTGTCTAACTCCATAGTTGAGGGAAAAAATGGAAATACCTTGCTGCCCTGTCCCTCCCTGTGTGCTCCTTGGGAGCTCAAATGCCTACCCTGCTGTCCCCATCATTCTTCAACCCTGGTGACTCCTGAGTTAGGAAAGCTCTTCCCATTCCTGGCATCTTGAAGTTGTCTCCTTCTTCCTGTAGGAAAAGGAAGGCCGAGGACTGGACTTAAGCAGCGGCTTGGTTGTGACTTCTCTGTGCAAGTCATCTTCTACACCAACTTCTCAGAACAACCTGCGGCACTAGGTCCCACCTTCAGACACCAATGTGATCACTGAAGTCACCAGCCCAGCCAGCTCAGAGAAACATGGGCTAATGATGACAGATGCACCATGTGAAGTATTGAGTCCTGAAAACATGACTGACCCTCCTGGCCCTTGTCCAGAAATACCTTGTAGTCAGTCACCTTCATGTCCATCCCTCCTGTCCCAGTGCAGGCACCTCTCCCAGGTGCTTCTGAGTGACTCCTGGAGCCGGCCCAGGTTGGCCACCTCTCCTTGAGGCCCTTCCCCAGCAGTGTGGTAGTATAGTGTGTCAGCAGAGTGGACGGCACAGCATCATGAGCCCATCCGGCAGGCTTTTCATGAGTGCACTTGTGCACCCACAACTGTTTTTACATGGGTCAGCTTCAGTCCTCAGCATCAATGTGGTTTTGTTTGGGAGTGTTTATCTAGGAAGTTACTGGGACCAGATGCCTGTTCTGATTTCTAAATCTCCTAAGAAATATGTAAAGAATTCCCAATCTTACATTAGCCGTCCTTTCAGCAGCAAATTCTGCTGGTCTTACCATGTAGTCCCACTGTTTCTCTAAGTCTCTAAGCATTATTTTCAAGAAACATATTTTTATAGATGAAAACTCAGGCTAACCCAGTGAGTATGATCTTGGAAGGCCCATGATCAACCACTTAAAAGATCAAAGTATTATATGCTGTGTGCTTTTTAGTTGTGAGTGCTGTGAGTGCAAATCTGCTTTCCAATTATGCCCCTCTTCTTGGGCACCAGTGCAAACAGATTGTATGCTAGAAATAGGCTGCTGCTCTGTCACAGTAGCATGCTAAATGTGCTTGTGCATGCTTGTCTGCAGTCCTGTCACCACAGCGTGGCATGTTGTGTGCTTGTGCATGCTTGTCTGCAGTCCATTGTGTAAGCCAGTGAGCTGGGTTTTCTGTTGGAGTGTATGTAGGGACTCTACAATTTGTTCCTGTCACAATCTTTCCTGCCAAGTTGATCCCCCCTGATCCAGCTCAGCCTGGGAAGAGGGGCAGTATGCAGTTTTTCTGGCCATCTGTCATCTTTGGTGGACTGTCACCTACCAGAAAGCATGTGTGTCACATCTCTAGAAAGAAGAAAACAGTTTGATTCCTAGTGTATACTTTTGACTTTAACTTTTATAGTAAACCTAAAAATCCACACCGACTTTCCATGTGACTATTCTGACTTTACAGGATGTAAGCTAAGAGCAGTGTGTCACTTTGTGCTTTTGTAAAATGAGTAAAATTTGAGGTGTTTGGCAAGAATAATCATTTTATGTGCACTGTCCACGTTGATGTAACTACTGTCATCCGGTTATTGTTGCTTTGTTCTTTTGAGATCAAAGGCTCCCGTGGGGCTGGCTCTCCCTTCCTGCTCCTTTTGTGAGCAGGCAGCTTGCTGGAAACACTCATAAGGTTGTTGGTCAGCCTACCTGGTTGAAAAAGACAATCAGATAAATGCAGACCCAAAATACAGAAGGAGCTAGTGAGACACTTCAATGGTTAAGAGTACTTGCTGTTCTTGCAGAAGATCTTAGTTCATTCCCAGCACCCACATGGCAGCTTCAGGGCATCCAATGCCCTCTTCTGAACTCCTCAGGCACCCATATGATACACATACATTAATGTAGGCAAACACTCATACATAAAATGGAATAAAAATAATAAATCTAAAAAAAAAAAAAAAAAACAGGCAGGCAGACTGCAAACTTTCTGGTTTTGTATCTTGGTCCACAAACTTAGGCAGATGCTAGAGGCCAGGGCAAGAACACTGACAATCTGGCCCATTCTAGCCCATCATTGAGAGGCTGCCTTCTTCCTTGTCCATAGGAAGCAGTGTCTACCTGAACAACGGAACCTAGAATGTCTCCCCTAAATAGGCTATGCTGGGCTATGAGATACCCGATAGGACAGAGAGCTCTGAGCCTCAAAACGGGCAGCTCCTCTTTAAATCCAAGTTTTTCTTAGGGCTTAATCTTGGAACAGGGCAATCCCATTAAACCCCAGTGCTCGGGAGTGAAGTGGATACTGTATTTACAGTAACCAAGGCAGCAAGTGTGAGCTGAGACCCAAGAGCCAGACCTGATGCTCTCCTCTAACACAGTAACAAAGCCCCAAGTATTTGATTCTAATTACATCTTAATTTTTCTTGAAAGGACCAAAAAGTAAAATCTTAACAAATATCTAAGACCTCAAATGATAACACCTTTGCAAATAGACACCTCTTATTTTTATTTAATTGTAAAAAAAAGTTCCAAACTAAAGTCACCAACTCCATGACAACTCAGCAAGCAAAGCCCTGCTTCCTTCTCCCCCTTCTGGAAGTCCCTTATTCCTCATCAGCAGCCTGGGGGAAGCACCCTGAACTAGCTTTCCCAAAGAGGGAGTTACACAAGAGGGAGGACATAGCAAGGCTGTCCACCATTAGAACCAATTGAAATAGTTCAGTCCAAAATCCCAACTCTTCCTATAAAAGTCTCTCTACAGGCTTGGGGCAAGGAAGGGGAGGGTGAGACCAGAACAGTCTGTGGGCTTGCCTAGCTTCTCCTGGAACAAAAATAACGTGTCGTTTGTTAGGCTTATACTATGGCAGGAAGGAGGCTGAAGCTCTCTCTGTTAGTGCATTTAGTGCTGGTGAGAAGGGTGGCCCAGCCTGGGTTACTGAAGTCCTTGGATAAGGCAGAGCCATGAGAGCCCACATCCCCCATCACCTTCTGTGGAATGGGGCGGGGGGTCCCCACTGCTGGTTCTAGGCAGCTCTTCTGTGCTTGCTTGAGCCTGGCCCTCAGGAGTGCTGGAGAGCTTGAGTCCGTAAGATTGGGGGTAACCCGGTGCTCAGACTCAGCCGTAGCTTAGGCTACAACACGGTTGGCCTAAGAGTAGCCCCCAGCCATCTGACTCGTGGCCGCATTGCTGCCCATTCCTCGCCAGGCCTGGAAGCTGAAGAAAGCACTCACTCCGTAGGCAATCATCACCAGGCAAGCAAAAAACTGGCAGGGGAGAAGAGAGGCCAAATTGGTCAGTCAGAGAGTGGGACAGTGACAGCAGCCAAGTGGGTCTCCTTAGACTTGGGGATAAAAGCCTGAGCAGCAGAGTTAATCAGGACCACTTGTTCTGGGAGCCACACCCCTTATGCCCAGCCACACACTACTCAGCTGGCATGTTCTAAGGGCCGGGGCTACAACCACAGGCCAGACATGTCAGGTAGTACCAGGGGCAACCAAGAGTGTCCAACTGACCATGGGGTGTCTTCACACACCCAGCAGGAACTTAATGTCCACAGGCAACATTCAGGGCTGGGGATGCAGCTCAGAGGTAGAGTAGTTGCCTAGCTTCACAAGGCCCTGACCTGGACATGACTACAATTCCAGCTTCCTTGTCTGAAAAGGGACCCATAGGCTCTGACCCTACGGCCAAGTGTACAGGGCCTCGTGGATGAAGTGTGAATGGCCATTTGACACAGCCCAAGTTTGAGCTTTTTGCAAGTCAAAAATGCAGGTAGAATGTCTGTAGTGATTAATAGCCACTGCAAGGTGACATGTGAACCAAAGCAAGTGTGGCTCAGCAGAGGTCCACATGACCCCAGGTGTCCAGGTTCCTTGGGTTCTGCTATTCACTGAGGGAGACTGAGTGAGGCTGACACTGAGCATCTAGGAAGTGACCACTCAGACAGGAGCCTGTGAACACACAGAGGCCTGGACTGGTGGATCCCTTGGAGAAGGCTGGAGCCCTGGGGACATACTTACAGAGGCAGCTGAGCGCTGGTTATATAGCCGGGAGCCCTTCAGGGATGTCAAATCAACCGCTGCAGCGCAAGTGATAAAGGCAGTAATGTAGAGAACCGTGGCAGCAACGAAAAAGATCATTGACTGTGGGGGAAGGGAGAGAGGCTGTAAGACATCCACAGGGAGCACCACCACCCCCAAAGCTAAGTCAGCCCTGGCAGGAAGGCCTGAAGTGTTAGGGCAAGACAGTGCCAGGTTACCAGGCAACTCGTTTGCCATGGCAACAAATCACTCACCTCTAACCAGCTAAAGAAATGCAGGCCATTCCATGTGTGGCACATGGCCATACCCACACCCACCCTAATAACCACATCAGCAGCTGGCTGTGTGGCTGGCCCTGGGATGGGGCCCCACATTCCTCTCCTGACCACTGGGAGGAACCTATGACTCCCTTTGGCAGTATCCTAAACTTGAGGGAAAAGCCAGGGCCAGGACCTTGTGGAATCTGTATAGAAAGAACAAGAGGCCTGGTTGTGACCCGGCAGCTGGCAGCTGGGCCCATTCCATACCCCCAGTGCATTCATACATTTTTTTTTTCTTTGATTACCAGCACTTAAAAATTAGATTTCACATAAAAACTTGACATACACCCTTGTAAAACCAATACTTGGGAGGCAAAGGCAGAGGTCACCCCAGTCTACAGAACAAGTTCTAGGACAGCCAGGGCTACAGAGAAACTCTGTCTCTAAAAACCAAACCAAACAAAATACTCAAAGCTGAGTATAATAGCTTAGGGAGGCTGATGTGTCCAGAGGCACGAAGACCGTGAATTGCTGGGGTCAGCCCAGTTTAGACATCAAAACTGTTTCAAAAAAGAAATAACCAACCCTCAGGGTGGGGCGTGTATCTCACTGGTAAAGCATTGTCCCGTTATAAGGTCCCGAGTTTGACCCCAAACCACCAAAACAACTAAATACCTCAAGGCTTGACACCAGTGCTGCATCCCCTGAAGGTTGAAGCCGGACAGAGGCAGCTCCTCAGGGCCTGGGTGCATGTAAGTTTTCTAGAACCTTCCTCGCCCAGTTCACTAGTCCATCTTGCCTGGCCCTCTCAGGGACTGGCAGTCTATCCCAGAGTTGAGGGGTCATCACCCAACTCCTCTCCCACCCTGCTGTTAAAGTCCAGAAGCACAGAAACAGAACCCAATTGGCTCCGTCATGGAGTGCTATGCTGGAATCCCATCCTAGCTTCAGAGACAAGTCACTCGCCCTGTAGGGTTCTTCTTTAGGGGCCCAGGGAGATTCAAAGGGGGTTAGACCCTCAGGAGTCCCAAATCCTGTCCCCAAGAGTACAGTGACCACTACACACCCTGCCTGGCTCTGGCCAGTGATACAAGATCTAACAAACCCATTCTGTCTCAGCATGACTCACGTTTCCTCTGATTAAACAGGCTTTGAATTGTAAACAATCACTGCCTAGTCCCAGCCTCGCTTGTCTTACAATCATGTGCCTCTGTGCTCACTAAAAGGCTCAGACCCAGCTGCATGGGTTTTCTGGGTTCCAGAAGGGAAAAAAAAAAAAAAAAAAACAAAAAAAAAACATCATTTTCTGTTTCTGGCCAGGGTGCTTCCTTTAGTCAGAGGAGGCTGGCCGGAGACAAACCTGAGGCACCCATCCTCTCCAGGGTTGCAAGCCCTCCTGGAGGCAGCTGGTATCCATGCTAGGCCCCAGCCAGCACTTGACAGACTCAGACCTCCTACCTCAAATTCTGACCACCCTGAAGAAGGTACAGTATCTACAGTATCTGCAAGGGCATGGCATGGACCTACTCAACAGTCCCTTGCTGCTGCTGGGCCCTTCCAAAGGCCAAGTTAAGCACCCACCTCAATCATTATTCACCCATCTTCCCAGCCCAGCTCTTCAGGTAGCTAAGAGGCAGGAGGATCTCTACCAACACCCCTCCACTCCACAATTACAGAAGGATCATTCACAGGCAAGACATCTCAGCTTGGAGCCTCACAGTACCCCTACCCCAGACTCACCACCAACGGCCAGGGCACCATGTATAATTTCATGTGCAGCTGGAACAGGTAGATGATGAAGAACACGATTGTCATCAGCCACAGGAAGACAGCAACAAACATGACCCAGCCATAGGCAGGATACAGGTGGTACAGAGTGTCAGCAATCAAGGCCCATACCAGCAGACCCAGCACCTGAGGAAAACACAGGGAGTCCTCAGCCCCACAGCTCCAGCTGGAGGCCGAGGCCTTGGCCTCCTTTCTTGTTAACTCAGCAAAACCTTAGGCTAGCAAGATGGCTCAAAGGGTAAAATGCTTGCCACAAACCTGGCAACAGGAGTTTGATGCCTAGAACTCAAGGGCGTAAAGAGAACTGGCTATCAAAAGTTGTCCCCTGACATGTGATTTAAAAAAAAAAAAAAAAAAAAAAACTTTTTTTTTTTTTTTTTTTTTAAAAGAAACCTTGGCTTGCTCCTGCTGTGTGCCTCCTTGCTGGGGATCTTGTCTGGCCCCTCTTCTGCCTCTTCAGTCTCCATTGTACTGCATGACAAAAGGCCCTCCCCATGTTCCCAGACACTACCACCCAAGCTGGAAACAGTGTTTCTCCTAGAGTGTATGCTTCTTATACCGTTACTGCCCACAACAGTACAGGACCTCTGCTTTGTTACAGGTGCTAGAAAAAACAAAACAATACAAAAACTGGGCATGGAGGCCAATACCTGCAACCCCAACACTGGAGGAAAAAGCAGGAGACTTAGGACTTCAAGGCCAACATCTACCTATTGCATTATAGGCCAGCCTGAGCTGTGTGAACCCATCTCAAAACAGAACTCCAGTCTAGGGGATGGAGATATGGTCCAGTGGTTAAGAGCACTGGCGGCTCTTGCATAGGACCAAGCCAGGTGCAATTCCCAGCCCCCACATGTGGCTCACAACCACCTGTAACTCCAGTTCCAGGGGATCTGATGCCCTCTCCTGACCTCCACAGGCACCAGGCACACTTGTGGCAGATATACAAGCAGACAAAACATTGATACACACATAAAACAATAAAAATATTAAACAAAAACCAAAACCCTGTCTAGAGAAGCAGGATGAGAAAGGTTCAAGATAGGTCAGCAGTAACTAGTCATTACCCAGGCTTGAAAAGCTAGAAGCCTGACAACTTCAGTTCACACCCCTCTCCCCAACCCACAGTGCAAGGGGAGAGCTCACTCCCAAAAGTTGTTCTCAGGGCTGATGAAATGGCTCATCAGCTAAATTTGCCTATTGCCAAGTTTGACGGCCTAACGTAAACCCCAGCTTCACTCTCACACACACACACACACACACACACACACACACACACACACACACACACACAAATAATAAATTAACCTTTAAGAACTTAGGGGATTGGTTTGTTTGTTTTGTTGAGACAGGATTTCATTATGTAGCCCTGGCTGGCCTGGAACTCACAGATATCCTCCTGCCGCTGCCTCCTGAATGCTGGGGCTAAAATACCATGCCTGGCTTAAATAAAACTTCATATGAGAAGAGCCTGAGAGACCATCTCCAGGATAAAGGCACTTCCAACCAAGTTTGAATCCCAGGACTCTCACGATAGAACCAGCCTCCTGCAATTAATTTGTCATCTGATACAAGCTATGTGCACATAACAGTGTTTATGTGTGCATACAATAACTAAATAAGTGTCATAAAAAAGATTAAAATCTCTTACAGCTCCCCCTACCCCTTGAACCATGGGACCTTTGGAAAAAGAAAAAAATCATGTTCCCAGAACATCCTCAATACAAATGGGAACAGACTACGTGTGCTTATCTTGGCTCAGCAGATACTGTCCAGGGCTCTGAGTCCTCCAGCCTACTGCTCCTTCCCCTCCATTGCCCCTAACTCCCAGTTGCCTCTCCCACGGGTGTTGCCATCCTGTCTCAGAGGAAGGCCAAGAAACTGTCTATTACACGTTCCCTGGACGCCCCCGACGCCCCCAACTGTGTATGCTGAGGCTAATAGCATGGATTTCGTTGAAAACTTGTCTGCATGACATTCCCCTCAGCTGGTCTGTGCTTCCCTACTTCATTTGTAACAGCTTGCAGGGACCACGCCCACTTCAGGCAGCTACTCAAAGCCTGTGAGTAAGCTCAGTTTTACACAGGGGCACCAAACCCACAGAGTTCCACACGCAGACTTTTTGCTGGGCACAGCCCCAGGACCTAGGAGAGGCCCAAGGGGAAGTACCACAACTGTGGCCGTACTAAGCCTTCCAGCTCCTTCTTTGCTAGCTGAGGATCTCTAGGTTGGGGAATACCCACCGTTCTCTTGTCTGGAGCTCTGCCACCATGGGTGTAGAAGTCTACTTTGTCTTTGAAGAAAGCATCCTTTGCTGACTAAGACACAGAAGGGTTGTTCTGCCTGCCTGCACACATGGAAGCCAGTGGCCCCAGTCCAAGGGTGAGACCATGTTCAGTCAGATATTAGAGCAAAGCTGTCCTCTGGAGACTGGTCTTTGGGAACAAGTCCCCCTGCTGATGGGCCACTTTCAAGTTCCCAGGCACCTAAAGAGGTCCCCACCAGAGGGCTCATGACCCAAAGCTGGGGCCTTGCCAGTCACCTTCTCCTAAAACACCCCACCAAAGAAAGACCTTGGAGAAGTTTCTTTGGTGGTTTGGAATTTGCACTTGCAGACAGCCTGTAGTTGAGCAGGCCAAAGCAGGCTCTGTACCTGCTCTCCCCATCGAGAGTGAGCCTCAGACACGCCCCATGCCACATAGCATCCTTCTTGCCTCTGGTCCTCACAAGCAGGCCCAGGTGTTGGCCTCTGTGCCCACTTTACAGCAAAGAAGATGGGACAGAGTAGCAGGGTCTTCCTAGCCTGTGGTCACATGCCAAACTAGGAACAAAGCCCTTGTTTAATTATAACTCAAGGGCCAGGGAGAGATCTCAGCAGGTGAGGGCCTTTGCCACCACGTCCTTTGACTTGAGTTAGATCTCCAGAACCTACCCAGTAGGGGAGAGCTGACTCCTAAAAGCTGACCTCTGACCTCCATATGTGTACTTTGGCATGCCTATGCCTACCAACACACACACACACACACACACTCACACACACACACACTCACACACACACACTCACACTCACACACACTCACACACACACACACACACACTCACAACAAATATCTTGGAATAGGCTGCACATGCACCTTCTTCCCTTCTCCACTCTCTCCCTCCTTCCCTTAGTTTCTCCCCCACCCCGCTTGCCTCTCTCTTTCTTGACAGGCCTTGAACTCACACTTCTGCTTCTGATATCACAAGCATGGGGCACCACACCTGCCCGCCCCCCATCACCATGCCGGAAACAGATACACTAAAAAGGCCCCAAAGCGCCAGAGCCGGGTGGGGTCACTTCTGTCAGGAGAATGAAAACCATCTCAGGAGAGAAATGCGAAGGTGGGCCTGCTAGGGGCTGCCAGCTCTTGTGTGAAGTAGGTTTCAGGTCCTTCACCATGACCCTGGGTTGGCTGAAAGGAGGTAGGAAAAGGCCTGAGTGACCATCTAGAAAAGGCCCATGGGTGTTAAACTGTTCTCCTCTCTCTGAAATCTTGCTGTTTCCACAAATGCTCAGGAGCCATAGTGCTAACGCAGGTAAAAGTTAGGGGAGCTCTGTCTTGCCAGAGCTGTGAGTTAGGAGTTGCTGGGGGATGGATAAAGCAAAATATGTCAACCCCTTCCAAGGGCAGGGCTGAAGGAACCCAGGTGTCCCCGCCCTGTCCCACTCCACCCCTGTTTCCCAAATCAGCAAACATGTAATAGAGATAAAGCAGTAGATAGGTAGGGGAATTTGTGTCCCTACGGGCTGTCGTGCCTGGCCCAGAGCCCAGGCAGGAGACTTGGTTTCTGCCCTAGAACAAGGAAGGTCCATTCCTCTTTTAGAACCCAACAAACTGGTTCCCCTTGGCCCTTAAACCATCCATCTGGGTATTTCACTGACCCCTTGACTGATGTGGGTGGTCCTGCCAGGGAGGTTCCAGAAGCTGCAGGACCCCTTGGGACTTGCTGAAATGCTACCTGGTGCAGACCCCACTCTAGCTGAAGAGCCAGAAGCCTTGAGTCCACATTGGGGCACATTCTTCATGGGTAGCAAAAGGCAGCAGGTCACTGTGAGCAGAGAATCAGGCTGGAGTCCCCAATTCTACTCCCTGATCCTGTGACCTCTCCCAGAACTCTGGGTCCAGGACATGTCTCACATAGCTCCCATGTCCCTCCAGCACAACCTGTCCTAGGGTTCACTGTCACAACCCTTCACTGCAGCACTTCTGAGTCAGGGTGCCCCACCCTCAAGGGGCTCCCACACCAGCAGTTTGGGCCAGATCAAAGCATGAACTGATCAAATACACATGCTCACAGAGTGGGTGCTATGGGAACCAAATGGGGGGCAGAAGGAGGATCTCTCTGGTAAAGTAACCTTCAGTAAGGGCTAGGGAAGTAAAGGAGGGGACTCTAGAAAAGAATGCAATGCTACCTTTGGTACTTTGTGTCACCTTGACCTCTGTGTCCATCTACCCACTACTTTCTCTACCGTGTCAGACCCGAGTCAACTCACTGTATGGCCTTGGGAGACTCACCTAACCTTTCTGGTCTATGTCCTCACCTGGGGCACACAATGTTTTTTATTGGGTGGGAGTTCAGGGACAGAAATGCCTACCCTGGTTACTGTATAGGTGTGCCAGGGAGGCAGACCCTGGGGCCATAGGAAGGGAGTGTGGTAGTGTGGTTCAGTTAGGACAGGAACACAATGGCAGAGTGTGGGGGCTTCCAGCAGGGGAAGCAACTAGACCTGGAGGTTGACACCAGTGTCCCAAGACAGTCCATGCCAGTCGTAGAGAGAGCCCTGGGACAGGAAGGCATGTTACTGGTGGAAAGCCAGCCCTGGGAAACAGGGCTGCTAGGTGGAAATGTGCATGCTGGACCAGGGCTCTGTCCAGGGCCACTCCCATCAGAGCTGCTAAGTTTTGAGGGGATGCTAGAAATTGCTTGTTTTTTTGTTTTAATTAAGTGGCACCTTCAGAGTTTAAATGTTAGCAATTAAGCCAAATGCTTTAGAAAGAGCAAGGGCCAGCCCTCCAAAGGTAAGTAGTGAGGCCTAGTCTTTCACAGCCCTCAGTGACTGCTCCTGACTACACTACCAGGAAACG